TTAATAAAAATAATTTGTTATTAACTGCCAGGTGGCTAGATCTGTTACACTCGGGCCTATAGGGCCTCGAACCTCTGACCAGGCCTTCACGGTCTGCAACAGGAAGATAGTGAACCAGGACTCATTCTTGACATAGCAAGGACCCTCAGTATCCCACACCAGTTCCGTCACCAATAGGTGCCCATGCTGACTAGCTGATATCATTGCTTTCCTGGTACCTACATTCTGAGGGGAAAAATATAATTTTGTACACAAATTTAAGATTTCATTTATGTCGCATGCTATGCCAAGCACTTGATGTATACCAAGCCATTTTATCTTCCAAGTGACCCTGTGAGGTCATTCTGCATGACAAAATCCAATACTCAGAGAAGTTGTTGTTTGTGCAAAATCATCACACCGTTCTGTCTCCTAAGTCTTTGCTCTTAACTTCCAGACTGAAGAGTGACTTAAAAGTAGAAATGCACAGTTGTGTACTGGGAAGACTGGCTGGTTTCTGTGGTGTGTGTTGTTGTTGCTGTCAAGTGTCGTGAGTCAGTTCCAATTCATAATGACCCTGTAAAGGGTTTTCGAGGAGTGGTGAATTCGAACCGCTGACCTTGTGGTTCAAACTGACCTTACGGTCCAGTGCGTTATCCCACAACGCCACACCAGAATTCCTTGTGGTGTGTAAGGGTGTGTAATGTTGGGTAGTGGTCACACTGTGGAGAGTTCTGAATGCTAGGTTAAGGAGACCAAAGAGCCAGAAAACTTTGTGTGGGATGGTGCCTACAACATGCCACTGTGTGATTTTTTTTTTTTTTTTTTTAACAGCCCAGGTCATTCCTTTGCTCTCAAATCTGCAAGAACTGGATTTATCAGCCAACAAAAAGATGGGCTGTTCTTCTGAAAACCTACTCAGCAGGCTCCGATTTTTACCAGCATTAAAATCTTTACAAATCCACAACTGTGCTTTGGATGGTGAAAGTTTTACAGCTCTAGGTAAGAGAATGTTCCCAGCCCTGCAGTCACCAGACTGTGAGAGGGCCTTGCTTTGTTTCTCTACATAAACATTTCCTTCTAAGACTCAGCCATAGGCAAAGTTGTGAAGTACTAATTTTGTCTTTCAGTAAGGAAATATGCCCTCTGATGACAGTTTTTTACTGGATATGTGAATTAGTTTATCATATGCAGATTAGTCATATAAAATTTAAAGCATATATAAGCAACTCTGAAGACTGAAGTCCATAGCAACTTGTAGTTTTGTGGGTCCATATGTGTTGGGGTTTCTGTGGGTCCTGGTGTGGCACTGTAGGATAATCACTGGGGTGCTAACTGCAAGGTGGGTAATTCAAATCCACCAGTGACTACTAAGAAACCCTATACAGGGTTGCTATAAGTTGGAACCAACTCAGTGGCACTGATCAACAACAACAGTGAGACAAATGAGGCAATGACTAGTGATTGAGTTTAGCTGACTACTTAACATCCACTTCCCAAAAGGATTTTCTGTGCTTTCTTAGAATCTGGGGTCACAAATAAACCTCAGCTTTGATCAAAGGTCTACTAAAGCTGAAATTATGCCTACTTGGAGGCATGAGAGTAAGTAGTTAACACGTTGGTAGCTATTAGCAATCCTTGAATTGGCTACAACTCCTAGCGACTCCAAGTGTAACAGGACCAAAGGTCGACCAGTCTATCATGACGCTTTGATGCTGGAGTCTATTGCTGTAGCCACTGTGTATGTTTTCAGTACTTCACAGCCTAGGGAATTCATCTTCCTACACTATACCTGACGATAATCTGTTGTGATCCACAGGGTTTTCATTGGCTAATGTTTGGAAGTAGATTGCCAGTCCTTTCTTCCTAGTCTGTCTTAATCTAGAAGCTCTGCTAGAACCTGTCCACCATGGACAATGCTGCTGTTATTTAAAATATTGGTGGTATAGCTTCCAGCATCACAGCAGCACACAGGGAACAACAAACTGGTGAGTGGTCAAGTCTGTAAGCAGAAGGAAATATTTTGAGGCAAGGGGAGTTTGTCATGTTTTTCTAAATATACTACCCAGGCAACCAATGCGTTATGGTCCCCAACACTACCTCCAGGCACATGATTCACTAGAAGGACTCATAGCTAAAATTACAGTGAAAAGATGCAAAGCACAATTAACTTGCCTCGGGCCAAGTCCAGAGGAAACCAAGAGCAAGCTTCTAAGACACTCTCCTCATTGGAGTCACACAAGCATGCTTAATTCCTACAGCAATGAGTTTGATGACCTTGGGTGAAGAGTTTTGAACTAGGGAAGCTCACCTGGCCTTCCTGTCCAGGATTTTTGTTGAGAGTTAATCACTTACACACCCACCGTCCGCCAGTAGCGACCAAAATTCCATATGCACAAAAGGAAAACAGGTGTTTAGCATAAACCATATTGCTTGTACAAGCAGGTAAGGAAGCAGTAAACCATCCTTATCTGTTAGGGATGAAGAGGACATTCTCAAAGTTCAGGTTTCCAGATACCAGCCTAGGACCAACCTTTTAGGCAGGCCTTGCTAAGGAGAGCAGTCTCAAGCCTGCTGTGTTAGCCTTTTTCTACTCACAAACACTAGATGAGAGTTGTTGGCTTCTAATATTTCCTGGGTAATGGTGAGATCAATTTTGTCTCTGTCCTCTTCCAAATGATTTTACTATGGCCCAGACAAGTGCATGTTCTTTATTATTTCTATTAATAAAAATGAATGCATATAATTTTCTCCAAACCCTGAAACTCTGTAGGGTTGCCCTTCTTGCAAACTCAAGTACCTTGTTCAACCCATGTTCATTGCTTAATGCCCACCCCACCCCCTTCCCTGTTGTGTTGTTGTTAAGTATCGTAGAGTCAGTTCCAACTCATAGCAACCCTGTAGAGGGTTTCCAAGGAGCAGCTGGTGAGCTTGAACCACTGACCTGTGGTTCTAGCACATTAGCCTAAAATGTCACACCAGGAGTCCCCTTCCCCATTATTTCTCATCAAATTGTCCATGTGTCTGAATGGGGAAGCTGGCAAAATGTGGCCACTTCAGACCTAGATTTTTTCCATCTAAAGTCCTGAGCCCTTAGAGAGTCCATAGGTGTGCTGCAGGGACCTGTGGACTCCCTAAAATTGACTTTGTGTGGTGGTGGTGGGGGTGCATTTTCTGGCCCCATAACACCTGGGATCAGACTGCCTGAATTCAAATCTTGACTCTTGAGACATTGTGTGACCTTAGATACTTAATACCCTGTATTTTAGTTTCTTCCTCTATAAATGTAAAATAAAACAACAGTATACAACTCAAAGGTTATTGATTAATGAGTTAATACACGTAAAGATCTTAGGAAGGTGGTGTTGTTAAGTATTGTTGAGTCAGTTCTGACTCACAGCAGCCCTGTACAGGGTTTCCAAGAAGCAACTGGTGGGTTTGAACCACTGACTTGTGGTTAGCAGTCCAGTATATATCCTACAGCATCACACCAGGAAGATGCCTGGTTGTTGTTGTTAAGTGCCCTTGAGTTGGTTCCTTCTCATAGTGACTGGTGGATTTAAACTGTTGACCTTGGAGTTAGCAATCCAATGTTGATCCTACAGTGCCACGTCAGGACTCCAGGAAGGTACCTGTTGTTGTTAAGTGCCTTCAAGTTGGTTCCAACTCATAGCGACCCTGTATATAATTTCAGAGGAGCAGTTGGCTGCTTTGAACCATAAACCTTGTGGTTCACAGTCCAGAGCTGATCCTACAGCACCACACCAGGACTCCAGGAAGGTGCCTGGTGTTATTGCTGTTAAGTGCCTTCAAGTCAGTTCTGACTTATAGCAACCCTATATAAGGTTTCTGAGGCACAGCTGGTGAATTTGAACCACTGATCTTGTGGTCCAGTTCATTATCCCACAGTACCATACCAGCTGCCTAGCAAATACTAAATGCTCAATGATAAACACCAGCTTTTAGCATTATAATGGAAAGCAAACCTAGAATTTTCATTCCAAAATTAATTGGATTGCATCACTGACCAGTTTAAAGACAGTCCATGGCTTCCTGTTACATGTCAGATAAAATGCAAATTCTTTTATGTGGTGGAGAAGACCCAGATGATATAACCCTATGTCCTCTTGGCCTCCTTCTCCCTTGATGCCTGACCCATGCCTCAGTGGGCTTCTTTTTGTTCCCTCATATTGCCAAACTCCCTTCTGCTTGGGGACCTTCCAGTTCTCAGGGATGCTCCCCTCCCCATTCCTGTTAGGTGGTTCTGACTTATCCTTGAAGTCTCAGTGTGAGTCTCCCCCCTCTATCTAGATGAGGAGCCCAGTGCTTTTAATTTATAACCTTTATCAGAATTTATAATCATGGATTCATTTGTGTGCTTATGTAATGTCTATATTTCCCCAGACTGCAGAGGTTGGCTCTCTACTTCACTGCACAAAAGAAATTACAGGTATTCTTTACATATTAGTTGAGAAGTGGGTCATTAACTTCTCATAAAAGTCCATAATCCCCCAAATGGTTAAGTAAATATACACATACAAAGCACATTCCATTGCTCAGACAATATTCAGTTAGGAAAGCTCCACACACAAAAAATTAATTTGGGGAAAACATGTTTCATAAACATATTCCTAGCTGGAAATATTTTTTAAGAAAAAAAATCTTAAGAAATTTAAATATTTTTCAAAGAAAGACAGCTTTTTCTAAACATAGCTGTACAATCAAGGAATCATAATCAAGTAGCTATTGCGCTAAATTACACCATCTGGCATAAAGCTACCATTTAATTTCTACTAAGAAGAAAATCAAGTAAATAGATACTTTTCTACATCACATATGGAAGAACAATTTTAAAGTTCCATTTCTTATTGGTAGGTCTCTATATCATATGAGTGAGAGAGAGAGTCTTTCTTATTAGATATTGTTGGAGAAGATGTCCAAGATATCCCTTGGACTTTTTTAGAAAGGAAGCAGTATAATTTTAAATATCATACCACTATCACAGGGGTCCTGGTGTGGCGCTGTGGGTTAATGCGCTGGACTGCAAAGTTGGTTTGATCTGTAAGGTCAGCGGTTCAAGCTCCTCAGAAACCCTGACTATGGGTCAGAACTGACTCAACGACACTTAACAAGAACAATGACATCATAGGGATTGAACTCCTTCTATGGCACTGTCAGATCAGCACTGAAGTGAGAACCATAAGGTCGGCAGTTCAAAACCTACCAGCTGCTCTTTGGAAACTTTGTGCAGTGTCACAGTGAGTCAGAACTGACTCAATGGCACTAATAAACAACAGCAACAATCATTGGGATTCAATTGCTAATTTTAACTTCAGAGGCAACTAGGAATTAAGCAGAAAATCTTTTAATGTTCTTTAAAAAACTTTTGTGAAATACATTAGTTTCCTTTCTTAGTAACTGCACTTTAGTAAATACATTTTAGTATTTGCTTGTCTCTGAGTATCAATGTGACTGGATTGTGAAATGCACTCAGTGGAATATATACAATGGACTGTATACCAACTGGGATATATACTGGAAATCTTGACTGTGATTCCAGTCCTTTGCTTCCTTTTCATTTCTAAATGTAAAGTGAAGGGAAGAGACCCCAATTGGTAGTGAATTCTTTAAGGTTTCAAACATTTCCCCTCAGTTAAAATGTTTTTGTTGTTGGGTGATATCGAGGCCAAGTTGGTTCCAACTCATAGTGACACTATGTACAATAAAACAAATCACTCCCTGGGCCTGAGCCATCCTCACAATTGTTATGTTTGAGACCATTGTTGTTGCCATGGTGTCAATCCATATTTTTGAGGGTCTTCCTCTTTTTCTCTGACCCTCCGCTTTACTAAGCATGATGTCCTCCTCCAGGAACTGGCCCTTCTTCATAGCAATGTCTAAAGTCGTAAGGACAAAGTCTCACCATCATTACTTCTAAAGAGCGATCTAGCCGTACTTATTCCAAAACAGATTTGTTTGTTCTTCTGGCAGTCCATGGTATATTCAATATTCTTCTCCAACACCATAACTCAAATTCTCTAGTCTTCCTTATTCATCATCAAAGTTTCACATGCATATGAGGTTATCGAAAATACCATGGCTTGAGTCAGGTGCTCTTTAGTCCCCAAACTGATGTCTTTGCTTTTTAACACTTTAAAGAGGTTTGTTGTTTTGTGGTTTTTTGCAGCAATATAATACGTACATCAATCAAAACAGGCAGCATAAATTTCAGGCATGAGAAAATTGTATTTATAATCTACTTAGCCCGAGTTACATTAACATGTGGCTCCAACTTCAGTTCCTCAAAACCAAGGCCTGTGATCTCTCACAAAGCCTAAATTATTGCTCTTCATCACTTTCAGCTGAAGCCTCAGTTCACCTCCCTGGTCTAGAAATATTCAACCTTTCTTGGAATAAGTGTATTGGTGGCAACCTGAAACTGCTCCAGGAAACACTCAAGCTTTCAGCGTCTCTCCAAGTGCTGGAGCTGAGCAGCTGCTCCCTGGTGACAGGGGACTTGGCTTTCTTAGGTTTGTATCACTACTTCCAAAGCAGTCTGGGTAGGCAGAGCCCAGAGTGCCTGAGGGCTAGGAAGGTGGGGACAGCAGTGAGGACTGGGGCTAAGTCTTCTTTGTAGCTCACCCCTCCCCCAGCATCTGCGCAGGAAAGACCAGGTTAAGACAAAGAAGGGCAGCTCCAAAACCAGAAAGACAGTGGAGGATGTTTCATAAAAGGAAATGACTGTAGATATGGTGGTGAGGAGTAGCTACCAGCCTCTGCTCCATAGCTCCTTCATATGTGAGCACCTCCAGAGCTCTTTGGTCAGTTCAGTGTTAACCAAACTTAGCCATCTGTGTTCTACATTCCTGGTGTGGTGCTGTAGGATAAGCACTGGGCCGCAAGGTTGGTTTGAACTGTAAGGTTAGCAGTTCAAATCCACCAGCTTCTCCTCAGAAACCCAATACAGGATCACTATGAGTTAAAACTGACTCAATGGCACTAAATAATAGCAACATTCTACATGACAAATTTTGCCCACATGATACCTGCACTGTTTCTTCATTTTTTTCTTTATTTTGTTGTTGTTAAGTGTCATCTAGTCGATTCCAACTCATGGTGACCCAGTATGAGGTTTCCAAGAAGCAGCTGGTGAGCTTGAACCGCCGACCTGTGGTTCAAACAACCTTGAGGTCCAGTGCTTTATGCTATAGTGCCACACCAGGATGCTTTTATTTAAACAGGAAAATTTGATCATCACCACAACTGAAAATACAGATTTCACTAGTCATAGACATTATGAGACTGTTTCCAGGTGCAGGTTTTACATAGAGATTCATCCTCTCTTTTGTTAGAAAAAGGAGATGAGAATTAAGGGACAATTGGAAACTTCCCACATGTATGTCCATTTAGAAAAATGGAAAGAGAATTGACTAAGGAATAAATTTTGTACCGTGGAACAAGTATCTCCTAAAATACCCTGTATGTGTCCATTTCCCATGGGGAACAATGAATTATACTGTCTCTGTTTCCCATCTACCCGTGGCCTTACACTTTCTACCATAGTCACCCATCAGCTTCCAGATCGCTGAAGAAATAAGCATCCATTTAACTGAAGTTCCAGAACAGTCACTCCAGGTAGTTGTGTGTTTGTTGTATGTGTGTGTGTTAAGTCTTAAGTTGTTAAGTGCCACTGAATCAGTTACAACTTACAGTGACCCTGTATTAGGGTTTCCTAGAAGTTGCTGGAGGATTTGAACCACCAATCTTGTGGTTCAAACTGACCTTGCAATACACACACACATGAGAGGGCTTCTAAAAGTTCGTGGAGAAATGGAATTGAAAGATAATGGAATTTTCCCACAAACTTTTTGAAGCCCCTTCATAGTTCTGCTAAAAATAAAAAATCACCATGCTATGCAAAATCACACAACAAAAGTCATAGGACTCATGAAAAATGATGGTCAGGAGCACAACGCTCAAAACCTCAATATCAGCACACTTTTAAAACAGGAAGCTAATAAGAACGGTAGTTTCATACATGCAAAATGGATGAAAAATGCATAACAACTATAAGACACATGGCACTTTTTCCTGAAAAAGACCTGAAGTTTGCTTGTGGAAGTGGACCGTCCACACTGTCACTGTACCACCTGGTTTCCATGCTGCCACCCTGTGTGTAAGAAGAGTGATGGGAACAGAGTGACTGTAGAGAGCCATAAATGAAAACAGCAAAATTGCTTGAGAGAAAAGAGGAAAATTAAAGAGGCAGGATTCAGGGCTAAGGGTTGCAAATTTTAACTTCTTGTAAATGGAAAGGAGGGTTATCTGAAATCAACTGGGAAGTTTTAGCACCAGATAGGGGAAAGTGGGTCTCATTGTCCTTGTGAGGTGTGTATGTTTGTGTGTATATACATTTTATTTCTACACATAACTGGATCTAGCTAGTTATAGTTTCTGTTCCCTCTTGTTTTTTTTGTGTGTGGAGGAGTCATGTAAATGCAAAATTCAAGCAATGCATAATTTGCATTATGCTCAAATTGTTTCCTGGTATTTAGATCTATTTGGAACAAATTTGCATTTTCAAAACACCTGGCATAGCAGAATAGACTGGAAAGGACTATAATTAGAAGACAGAGACAAAAACACTGTGATTTTAGTTGGCATTTCCCTAACTGGTGTTGTATGATAAGTATTAGACTGCTAATCACAAGTTTGGCAGTTCCAACCCACCAGTCACACCTTGGAAATCCAATACAGGGTTGCTCTGAGTCAAAACTCACTTGATGGCACTTAACAATAGAAACAGCTAATGATATCTTTGTATGTCTTTATTTATCAACTGTGTATATTTTTTTTTGATGAAATGACTATTCTAGTCTTCTGCATCATTTAAAAAATAAGATTTTTTTTTTTTTAATTTTGTGTGAATTGAATGAAGGTTTACAGAACAAGTCATCAGTCCTACATCCAACAAATTATTTACTTCATGTCGTTACAATGATTGCAGTCCACTCCATGTACAGTCAGGTAACAGGTTGTTGTAGTTAAGTGCCTTCTAGTCAGTTCTGACTCATAGCAACCCTGTATAGGGTTTCCAAGGAGCAGCTGGTGAGTTTGAACCACCAACCTTGCAGTTCAAACTGACCTTGCAGTCCAGTGCTTTATTCCACAGCACTACACCAGGATTCCCTCAGTTAACAGTTGTTGTTAGGTGCCATCAAGTCAGTACCAACTCATAGTGACCCTATGCATAGCACAGTGAAACACTGCCCAATCCTGGGCCAACCTCACTATTGTTGCCACACTTGAG